ATGTATGTATGTAATATGTATGTATATGTATATAGTAAGCCCTACACACACTCTTATGCGACGGCTACCTTGAAGTTGACAACAAAGGAACACACTAGACACTTCGCACTCGGCTCGTGCGCAAAACAGTTGGCGTCCTCAAGGTCCTGTTCAACCGATTCACAGATATCTCTGACTTTGTGTTGTAAATTGAACACACAAGTCAAGCAAGCACAAACAAGTGAGTATATCTATGTGTTGTTATTCATTTTCTCAGACTTATACTGTATGTAATCAGTAACAACATGTCAGGTCCGGGGGTTCAATTAGCCCCTCTCTGACCGCAAACGTGCCGAAACGAGCTTGGGCTTGGGCCTCGTCTGGCGCAGACTTCCTAAGATGCCGGGGATCATCATTGTAAAGTCTCGCAGTGCCAGCTGCCTGGTAGGAACGCGACGGGCATGCCCTCTGACTTGCAGCCAAGGCACAAGTTTGCGGCTTCAGCGCGCTCTAGCCAATCGAGGCCCTCTTGGAGACGCTTGGCCTCAAGAGTAGTACTCATGCAGTAGCTGCGTGCCGCCGTGCAAACTTAGCTTATAATAGGGTCTGCGTTTTAAGTGCCAAAACTACCCAAATTGCAATTGCTCCGCTTCCTGTGTTCTGTGGGGGGATACAAAGACAGAGGGGACGGACTGAGAGGGCGGGGGGCACGGGAGAATTGCAATTTCAACGTAAAAAAGGGCCCAAATGCAGTTCCCTCGCGTCTGCTGATCGAAACACGCGGCCTGGGAGCATGAAACGCATACCCAACCTTCCATATAGGATGTCCGAGGTATGGTTCAACGCAAGCACTCCAAGGGTGGTGCCATGGTGCACACCGTCACGGCTTTCACGAAGAAGGAAACGCCCCCTCTGCCTGTCACATCTTCGTTATGCTTTACGTACGTACCAAGTCAGCCGACATTTCCTCAGTCTCGGCACGATGCTAGTGGACAGCGCATGATAGAGGCTGAGTTGCTGAACGTGAAACTCGATTTCTTTCCGTCCGATGCTGTCACCATTTCGAGGGGGTGCACCTTCAGTAGGTGGATCAATGCCGGCATCCTGGCTTGACGCTCTAAGCACTGAACTTGGACAATGCAAGTCTCATGGAAGTGCGACTCAGGAAGCACAGCACCAGGTGCATCAAAATTGAAAAGAAGGCATGCAGTCCTCCATGCCATTCAGCCAAGCAAAGGCCTGGCACACCAATGCAAGAAACAAGATGAGGCAGCTAGCCTTGGGTCACAAAAAACCAATGCCCCCCTCAGCCTCTGTGAAGGAGCCGGTTTGTATGCAGACATCGAGAGCCTGGGTTTACATAGCCAACTGAGTGCGGACTCCCGGCTCTTCAGCACAAGACGGATCTTCATCAGGAAGTGAGGATGGACTGGTGGCATCCAAGTTGCCAGTGTGACGAACTGTGCATCGAAATCTACGCCAGACCTTGCATCGCACAAGATTCACACGATGTCATCTGACCGGCATCACCCTCCCTAGTTGTTGATGGATTCTGCAATGCTCGCTTGTTCATCTGTTGTGCAAGACAACATGTCGACAAACAGTTCTCTCAACTCGCCACATCCTGGATGCAATCTGCCAAACTCGGCCAGGCTCGCCTTACAACTTGTCGCAGCCACCTGCATGTCGAAAGGCAGCGGTAACCGATACACCACGATGAATCCGATATTGTCTCAGCGTCGCCTGTGTTTAGGGTCAGACCTTCAAGCCACAATGACTCTAACGATAGTGGTGACAGATCACTGAACGAGTGGAGTTCTGTTGGACTTGCCTCCGTCACATGGCAAGGTGTTCGTCTTTTCCCTAGGAACCAATGGCTCCCTGTGCAATGCCAGGCTAGGACCTTTCTAGGAATGTGGAGCAGCCATCCGAGCGATGCATAGCAGCACATGCGCATGTGGCCCCTTCTTGCAGTTCAAGTGTGCAGTGGAGCACCTGTAGGCCTCTGCACGCTTCTTTGCAGAGAGGAGGCCTCAAGAAGGCTTGACATGGTTACATGCCTGAGAAGGATGCAGTTCCGCACCAGAATCCTCATCCCACTGCATGTTTAAAGTCTTAACGTGCTGCTTGACCTGCCCTATCATGCGCCTCGAAGAATCCGGTCGTGGAGTCGAATTGCAGGCTTCACGTTCATCTGGTCCATGGTCTGGCAATGCGCCCAGGCTCTCTGTGATTCACGACTAAGCCGACTCGGGAAGATTGCCGAACTGAAACAGAGTCACCATCCTGCTTCCACTACATGGCAATGAAGCCCAGGCCTTCAAGAGGGAGGCCACAGCGCTGGTGCGGCCCTGCCTTGCTAACCTCAGCAATACCACGGGATCACCCGTAGTGACGATGCGGATTGAGGATGGCTACATGGGACGGACCATACTTCATAAAACAAAAAACAGTCCACGCTCTCCGGGCAGCGTTACAGGAGGAGACCCAAGGCCAGCACGCTCCGGCGACTTTGGTGTAGGACCAAATATTTGGACGAACTTCGCGACTCCTTCCGGCGTTCCACATTTTAAACATACGTTCGCCCGGTCGTCGCCGTCTCTGCGGTTGCTTATTTGCAAAGCATGGCATTACGGCAATGTCTCCTCGATCCACTTGAAGAATCGTCCTTATGCAGAAGGAAAACTTGCGTGCCAGTGCTGGTGGCCTGCGGCTCATCTCCTGCGAGACCTCTGATGCCTTGCACCCAGGAGGAGACCTGCTGCAAGCTCGGTCCCAGGCCTCCGGAGCCATCATGGAAACCAGCCAGTCAAAGGCATCATCGACCCTCCCAGTGTTCAGAAGAGCCTGCCGAGTCGGAGGCAGACTTTGCTCCACATGGTAAGAGTGACCCTTGATGGCTTGAACGCGGCGGCAACAAGGAAACAGCGAAGCGGACGTGGAAGTCCTCATGCCTCAAGCATGCCGTTGTGCATGACCACATCGACTGGCACGCCATCACCCTTGGCTCTAGCTCACAAGCTAAAGCTACAGAAACGAAGGTGCCACATTACGCAACTGGTGTAGATCTCGATGCCCGTAAGAGGCAACGATAGCGATTGTGACGTGTCAAGAAAGTGCGAGACACTCAGCTAAGAGCCGCGCATCCATATCCTCCATAAGGCGTCCAATGTCTTCCGGTCTGCCAGCCTGCGACTTTTCCAATTGTCCTCTTGTCATCTAGTTTCTGCAAGCCAGAAGTTCTCCCACGGCAGTCTTGCTCTTGCTGCATGCCTGCCTTCGCAAAGCCGTCTATGACGCTGCCGTACGAGACAACTCGGAAGCGCAAACAGATTCAGATATCGCACAACATCGAAACGGTGAGATTCCAGAAAATGAATTAGTCCAAGTTGCCATCTGGCGAACATTCCATGGCTCTAAGCTTCCTGAGTTGAGAGGCGGCAGCATGGTCTCGATTACAAGCCAATTAAACAGACAATCCCCCCGGCCGCGTGCGCCACACACACACACACACACGATGTACGTAAGGTCGACATCGCAAAACAGGATGCTGACATGGATTACATGCAATGTTCTGGCAATGGTTCTGCATTTGAAGTCTACCCAAAGAACAGCAGCTCCGGCGAGTGTCGCAAGGAGAAGGGCAGCCTTGTCCACGTGTCCTTCCTCGCAGTCACAGGGTCCAACATGAGCTTTGCGGAGGCTCTTGCTGGGTGCTTCCCTGCAGAAACCTACGCCTCAGGACTTTGAGATGACTCCACGACACATGGCAAATGAAGAACGACCGTTGAATGTTGGTCTTGCTGCAATTTCTCGCAGTTTGCATCAGTCAGGGGGCCTTTGAGCACGCATTGATCACACTGCCGTATGACGACGTCGAGGGAGTCACCTCAGGCCCAACCAGGGCATGTACTTCGAGCTTAGTCGGCTCTGATGGTGCAACTCGCACAAGCTTGGCACAAACACCCTAAGAGAGCAGTGAACAGCCCGGACAAAGGACTGAGTGCGGCCACCATATTTAATGCCATCTCCTGGAAAGTGAAAGCGATCGATGCATTATGCAATGCAGAAGCACCTCCGCCAAACGACATGGCAACTAATCGGGAAATCGCAACAGGTCCTCCACCAGTGCACAGGCCTCTTCCGCCTGGCCTCTGCTCAACAGCTCCTCAAGGATATAGATTGCTGTGGTGTATTCGTTGAATTCGCTCAGCGCCCCCAACACTTGCAAAACATCGCACACTCTAGAGCCCTACAATCATCCTTATCCCCGTACGCCCCTCAGCAGACACCTCGATGCCAGCTTCTGGGCTGGGCCTCGGCAGCGAGGCGGTCAGGTTCCTCAAAGATCCCCGGACCACGTGAGCAAATCGAGAAGAAATCCTACCCCTTAGATTCCTTAGATGATTATTTCTGCTTACTTTCTTGGGTCCTGTCCTGCTTTGCTCTGGCTATGGGGTCCTCGCTTCCATCAAGTATGCTAACGTGCAGGGAAGGGGTAGGGGGATCTGCACATGCTGGTACACCGGTCACGAACTACCGCTGTAGATACTCTCAGACCATCCTACCGGTACTGAATGAACTGCCAGGGTTTGACTTTGCGAGGTTTGAAGGATGACGAATGAGAAGCTGCAAATGGGTTGTTTTGCAGCTAGTGAACTCCACTTGCCAGAAGTTGCCTGCCCATTCATCGCCTCGTCGGCGTTCGGTTCTCGATTCCAACGCAACACATCACAATGCTGGCCAGTGCAGGAACGAGACAAATAGACACCGAATCATCAAATTTGTCCAAGCCGCCGCACGTCCTGCGACTGGGGTTGAGTCTGGGGATTGAGTGGATCTTAAAATATGCAAGACTTAATTGCTGCTAGAGTCAGCGGCTAAACATGGCCCACAACAGCTTCTGGTCGATAGATCATCATAAACAAAGATTCACCTAGAAGTCGCGTTTTGCAAAAACTGATCCAAGTCGCGATCGTATCTGATTTCATGCCTGACATGGCAGAGTGCCCACAGCATTGCTCATGGGCTGAGTCCGCAGAATCCTCAACCGTGTCGGACGCTGGCCGGCTATCCAGCTTCGCTCGCAGCTCCACCCGAAGCTTGCGCAGCCTCGAATCAGACGAGGCCAGCTCCATGTCTCACAAGGGCACTGCGTGGGAATCCTGGATACCGTCGTCGCCCAAACAAGCTCAAGACTCATAGCCAAAATTCGAGACAAGCCTACAATTACAAGTCTCATCCAAACCGGTGCTGTGACAGCGAGATCACGCCGGGCACCGAACGGATTGCGTGCACCTGATGAGCAGTCCCGAAATGACAAAATGTTTTCCTCTATGCAATGACACAAACAGGTGGACTTGACATTGCCTTGGCCTTGGCCTTGACATGCTTCCACACCCATAGGTTCAATCAGTCGTCTGCGATGGGCCTCTGGAAGCCGGGCGGGATTGGGAGTGTAGCGCAGCAGCACCGACCTGGCAAACTTCGAACTGCGACACTCTGCTCAACTGCACTTTACATCCGTGACCCTCTCCATCAATTTCGACAGTGTGACCGCGACGCCAGCCAAGTTCGCTCGCCAACAAGCCTTCCTGGACATCGCAGCATGGATCCAAACAACGGTAAGGAAACACATATCTGCTTGAGGTAGGTCAGGCATGGCGAGGTGCACTCCTAGCAACTCTGTCGTCACCGGCATTGGCTTGCAGCCGGATCCGAGGTTAGCCGTGGTACATGAACCGCGCTCGGCGTTCGAGTAGCTTCACGAATGCCACAACGAGACCAAGAAAGCCGGCCATGAATACTCTTCGGCAACTCTGCTCGGAATTTGGCAGCTCTTATTGAGGGCAAACAGCCATCACAAACTGCATTGCCCGCACACCACCCTTCGTGACATCCGCTAACATTGGCCTTGTCTGCATACATCCCTGCACTGCACGAACCCCTGGTTGAGGGCTGCTCTGCGATCATCGAACTTCTTTAGTGAGTCCCGCGCTCGACGCCAGAGCTCCGGTGACTGTGGAACCCTGCAAAGCCAGGGGTCCAATTGCAAAACGAGACTGTGCACTCCGAGCCGCGGCCTCCCAGCTGACCGTTTAGTCAGTTCGATTTGTCAACTATTCGTAGCCACACTAATCCGACAAAAATATCTTCATCTGCAACATCTGCATCATCACCATCGTCACCATCATCATCATCATCGTTATGAGTCATGATCGGCATCACCATCAAACTGACGATCAACATTCTGACCGATGATAGCTGTGCATACATCCGTTGGCCAACAAACATCCCCATGGTGCCTGCCACAGTTGAGGACTCATGTCTCCAATACCTGCCAGGTGTTGAACCAAAATTGTGAGTCCATTGTCAGGTACGGCCATCAAGAAAAATCTGGTGTGTATGTGTGTGCACGCAATCCATCTGACTGATATACATGTTACTAGTATGCGGCGGACATGTGACATCAAAAACAGGCCTTGCATCAACGCCATCCACTAATTGCGATCGCAAATGACCAAGGAGCGCACCGCGGCAAGCTGGTGTCGAAGTGACAGGGCTGCACGAAAGCCATATGCAACACCAGGCTCCTAGCACATTCGATACCTGGCACGTATCACTCGCAACAGAGTGGTATGATCTTGAGATGCTCAGTGGCCCTGGGGAGCTTGCCAGTTCTGTGTATGTTGTGGACTTGTCTGCTAGTGTCATGCTGGGTAGCATGGTAACGGTTCTGATCTGAACAAAGACTTGGCTTGCAATCGTGACTAGGGAATCGTTCCTGCCGGTACAGCCTGTTCTAGGGCTGACCAACAGCAGAGTTTCAATTAGTTTTCTGCTGGCGCAGTGTGCTGGATCTTGACCTTTACCGGGCTCATGGCTGAAAGGAAGGTTTGGACGGTGCACAGCGCCAAGGAGGAATCACACAGCCGCACTCACACAAACAGCTTGGCACCGTGTACCCCTCATCCCGACTGGAGTAGAACTTATAACTATTCAGAACTGTGGATCTGCAGGGATCTGCAGGCCTTCCCATGTCTTCGTGTTTCTTCTTTCTTTTCTTTTTGTGAAACATGCCAGGTGCAAAGACTGCATTTCAGTCCAACGAACTGGCCTCTAAGATGCCAGGGAGCGGTTGGCTCTAAACAGTCACTGCTGCTGGGCTCGCACGTCTCCGAGATGAATGTGCTTCTCTTGCTTGCACCAACTGATGCCCGTGACAAGCCTGCTACGTAAAATCAGATGCTCATGCAAAGTGTTTAGCACAAGGCCACTAATCCTAATTACGCCCCGATGGAGAGATGTGCAATTCGGCTTCGCGTTCAGCCGCCATGGTGACCTGCCGATTGAAGAAGCTGAATCCGAATCTATCGCAAATCCCTGCGAACATGACAAGCTGTAGAGCTCCAGGCCTGCAAGGCCAGTGGACAGCATCGGCAGCTTTGTCGGCGGCGGTGGCAAATCCACGGGTGGTTCCAACCTCACAAGGAGCGCTCGGTTAAGTCGACTTTCTCAGAACACGATTAAAATGTGGTTCAAGGGTTTTCGCGACCCTTGCAACTCAAAGTTCCCTGACGTCAGCTGCGCTGTGCTCTCAGTTCTGCCTACTCTCGCTAGCGTTCCGAAGGGGCTCGGGGGGTGACGTGGCGACATGCGCAACACTGCGAGACTCCGGCGACCGTGGAGATGGGTGCGGAAGAACTGACTTGGGGTCCCTGGGCTGGCAAAGCTTAGTGCTTGCTACAGTCTTGGCTTTCATCCATCAAGCTTGAAGGCTAAGTCTGCTTGTCAACTGCGACTGCAACCCAGCGAGCTTTCGCCCCTTGTGCCCACATACGCTCACAATTTATGTCATCGAGCCTCGATCGGGAACAAAATGACCAAACACAACAAGCTGCCAGAAAGGAGTCTCTCCAATCTTTCGTAGGATGAAAGCCAGTGACAGCCAGTGCTCTGCAGCAGAATTATCCCGAGTCACCGCAGAAACTCATTCCGTGTCTTTGCACTTGTTGCTGCCACTGTCATTAGCGGTGCCGCTTACGCGCGTCGCCTAGTTGCTTTTGAAGCATGCCCTGTCCCGCAGCGGAGTGTGACTTCACCTGGTAGGCCTTCTTGCCCGAACTTGCAATCCCATGCATCAAACCTGAACTGTAGTTGGGACGGCCGGCATTGTCTTATGATCTTGTGCGTTCCCTTGCCTTAATTGGAGATTTCAGAAAAGGCAACTCAAAACACATCTAGGAACAAACAAATGCGATGCATGCCTGGAGTTGTGCTGTGGCACTGAACAACCTCGGCGACAAATGAGAGGAACCTGTATGAAGCCCGGAGCCCGGAGAGGCTGCGGAATCCGAACAAGAGGGCCGAATCAAGTAGAATAAGGTGCTGAATACGCTCTCCGCCAGCAGTGATACTGCTGTCGTGTTAGCAAGGGCTCCGGCCTGCCGTGTAAGCAGCCCTGAAGAATGTTGGTGACTTTATCGTCCACGGAGGGCGTGTAGTTCCACCTGGGCAGACTGATCGGAGAAGAAACGGAATCATTCCCTCAACCAGTTTCAATCAGTTGTATTGGCAGTGATCAAGGGTAACTGTAGCTGGCACGTGGCCCATCTTGGCCCAAAGCTAGCTTTACCGCTCACCTGACATCTCCTCTCAAATCCTCTCAAAAAATGGGAAAGGCCTTGCACCTGCAACCTCATGCATCTCAAAGGGATTCACTTACGTCCCCTGGGGTCTTCTAGGCATCTCCCACGACCGCCGCAAACCTCGTCCTTGCGTAAGCAGAATGCAAAGACAGCCCCAAGCAAGAAGCAAAGCAAACATGGCAAATAACAAGGAAGGCAAACAGCCCAACCCAATCGAAACTCTTCACCTTTCAAGACTGAACTTGAGCTTTTGACCTTGATTTGAAGTGGTGTCCCAGCACCCAGGCTGTTTGCTCCAAGCTGACCTGCGCAGCTGCTCGAAAGGCAACCTCTTTTGAAGCTCTGAGGTGGCTGAGCCTTGTCACACACCGACTTGCGGTCGCTCTGTCCATGCCTTGGCATTCTGCGGGTCAGATGGCCAGCAGCCCACCTAAACCCGGAAAGGGCATATACCCTACAAACTTTCAGCAATCCAGCAAACGTGGATCGGCCCTTCAGCTAAAACCGATATTCGAGGTGTGTAAACCATCCACACTGACAGCAAAGTCACACTGTTTGAATCCGTGAGTGCTCCCAGTGTTGCGGTTTCTGGTTGGGACGTTGTTATGGTGTCAAATTGCTGCCTCCTGCAATCCGTGTGCAGCTCGGAAGAAGCATGAATGAATGCAGCTCTCCACTCCATTTTGGGCCATCAATCCTCGGCCACCGGCCAAAGCTGCGCAGTGCGCTCCAATGCAGTGACGGGGCCCTCAGCAAACTCTTCCAAGCGCCTGGTGGCAGCGATGTGTGGTGACAGGGATGTGTTGAGGAATGTGGCCTCAAACCGACCCTGCACTTTACACTCAACTGGACGCGCCTCTGTGTAGCTTGTTCTCGCAGCTCTACCCGGCGGACCATGCAGGAACAGTCTTCCTCCCTGGCATTTGCGGATGGATTGGTTTGCTACAGTAAAACACGACTTCACAGCTCCTGGTTTTGCGAAGTACGCACAGGCAGGGCTGAAACAGCGACAACGATCCCATGCGGCAGAATCCCAAACTTGCATCAAACACTATTGCTCGTGTAGGCTTAGCCGCCAGCCTCCAAGGTTCATGCACAAACTGCGAAGTCAGCAAAATTCACAACCAGGAAGAAACATGAGGAAAGGGCATCACCGTGGTGTGGACGCCGGCCGTTTGACCTTCGATTTAATGTGACTGGCATAAGCGAATCAAAATGGGCGGTTGGTCACACAATGAAGGCAAACACACATTCACATTGACCTATCCTGCCTGGGTTCATGTCATTTGCACTAACATAGTGCCGCTGTTAACTCCATTACAACATCCGTGTACCTTTGAAAGCGTTGCCCTGAGCCTGCTACACGAGTCCATCACATCTCTGGGCCCCGAGCGCTCTTTCTGCAATCGTTCATTGGCATCGTTTCTCCGTGCTTCTGTTGCTTCCTCACGGCGTGTCGGTGTACTCTCACCCAGCAACCCACCTACTTAGGAAGAATCGGCAACACTGTCAAAAGCAGTAACGGCAAAATCACCGTTGCGTGTCTTGTCCTGGGCTGCTGCCGTTCTTCTCGACTCCATCGGCAAGCGCTTCGAAACAGCCTGCTGCACGCCAGCTCACGTGTTCCACACATCAATGGAGATTCCAAGCGTGATGCAATCAAAGATGCACCAAGTCCTTCGCGCGCACACACACACACAAACGGGCAAACATTCACACACAAACACAGTTTCGGTATTGTTAGGTTTCGTCGGCGAGTGCTGGTAATGGCGAAATCAACCAAGATATCCATGTAGTAGGCAACTTCGTGGGCCTCCAGCCCAGCTACAATTGTAGTGAACGAGCCCGGGCGATGGAATAGCTGCAACGGTGACCATCATCTTCCAACTTTCGGTTGCCAACATTGGTTGAATGAGTCGCAATGTATTACAACGATCAGTGTAGACAAAGTAGCATGTGTGAGCTTGTCATTGTTAAAAACAGAAGCTGAATGACCAGCATATAGACTCTCCTTTCAACCAAGGCCTTCCGCATCCCCTTCCGCGTGCGAGAAAAGGTGCTTCCACAACGCTCTTGGAACGACGAAGCTTCTGCAGAAGCGTTCTCGGCGAGTTTTCGATACGTTCCATTTCGCAGTCTTGGCAGAGCCGCGTTGGGAACATGCCGGCTGAACGAAGCGAAAAGGAACACAAGCAAACAAATGAACGCCCACGCCCTCACCGCCCACGTCCACACCCACCCACACACAGATATACTATGTGTATCTACATATGTATGTATGTATGTATGTATGTATGTATGTATGTATATATATATATATACGTACATGCAGGGCTGAACGAGTGCGTGACAGTTTAAACATCTGGCCAGCTAGCCTCCTTGATTTCAGAAGATTGTGCTCGCAGAGCTTCCAGCTGCGCTTGGCACTGCTCCTGTCAACATGCACAGCGAACATGGTCCAAGGAGCCCAAGGCCGTTGCAATGCCAGGACATATATGCTGATGCAGGAATGCTGCTCAGCATAAACGCAGCTCTACATATTGTCATATTGCTGGATAGTAGCTTGAACACGAAATTTTGATCGAACCGTTATTGGCACCTCATCGAGGACCGGCCCACATGCCTGCACGTTCTGCAAGTATTCGGCCGCGTTCTGTTGCATCTGCTCTTCCTGGCCGGCAAACTACTCTTCAATGTCGAGCATCTTTACTAATAGAACAAAGCGGCCGATCGTGGAGCGATAGGAGGGAAGGGATCAGCCAAAAACAATACCAACACACGGCCTTCCCGACCGATCCATCCACACAGTCCGAATCAAATCTGTGATCTCAAGCTCGTTAAACCTCTACTCTGTAAACTGTCCAAGCCCCCAGATCAACACGACAGTCATTGATAGTGCCACAAGTAGCAATGTATCGGCCGCCAGACCGGAGGATGAGACTTAGACCGATTGTAATTTGTCACCACCCACATAACAAAATTTTCGCCATCTACACATGTCACAACTGAAACTATAGAACTGGAGTCTAGACTCTAGACTAAGACTAGATGGCCGGACGAATCTTTGGTGCCGGTGAGTCTGTTGAAACTCCTGATGTGCATGGAATTTGCTGCCCGGAGCTGCGAATGCTCTGGTGCAGTGATCCGGCAATCTTGTATACTTGAAAATGATCTAGCAGCAAGAAATGGCGAATGCAAACGAGTCCATCGTTGAATTTCATGACTAACTTGACAGCTTCGACAAAAACAATTTCTTGTCTTCGTGCACCTGCTGTGAAGGGATAACCCGCGGCCACATCACACTCACCGTTTCGAAAGCGGCAGAAAATGAGAGCCGTCTGCGGTGGTGCCTGAGCAACCAACGCTTCCTCGGCCTCAGCGAGGGCGGCAGCTCGGGCCGCAAGCCGTGCTTGGGAGGCTGCCTGGCAAAGGGAGCTGCGGTCAGCCCTAACTTGTCGCAGTCATGCCTCACATCTACGAACCGTTACACTGTCCGATTGGACGCCTCTCAGAAACCGAAGCTGCGAAGATGCTGAATTGATCCGGCCCCTTACGATTTGAGCTTGTGGCGTGAGCTGCCTTCGACTGCTCGTACATTTCTTCAGCCGCACTGGTCCTTTCCCCTCAAGGATTGCATTCAGGTTGTGCACGAAAGGACAAGTATGACTAGCGGCCGTAGTGCTGCTGTCATGATCCTGGAGCTCACAGTGCTCAACGCCGCAACTGAGGCTTCGACTGGCTGCATTCAGCAGTTGAGAGGAGGAAACCACATGCGCCTGCTGCGAGCTGCTGCAAACAGTATGCCGTCACATGCCGTCGACGATACACAACATCATCTCGGAAACAAAGCATGACAGCAGCAGCACTTAGGCCTGTGTCGGTGTTTCGACTCGCAGACTGTATGCGCAACGAGCCGAACAAGAATCAAACAACACAACTTGAAAACCCGCTGCCATGGCCTCCTCTGCACGCTTGAGTCCCAAAGCTTCTTCCAATCGCCTTGGAATATATTCAAAAGTCCCCGCTCGCGTACGCGTGCATGAAACAGCTGAACTCGGCCCTCGGCTTTCCTGCTTCCCTTTGCGCCTCTTCCAACATGATGTCGGCCTGCCGTACCTTCGAGCTGTAAACAAGCACAAACGAGTCGAAAGTCTTTTGCCAAACAAGTGCGATTGATAGCAAACACACTTACGAAACAGTTACAACCCTAGCCGCAAATTCAAGGCTCGGGTGTTCTTGCTGATACACTTCGCGACCTGCTGATGTGCGTAGTCCGTAGTGTGCCTTTCAAGTTTCCACCCACATAGCTGAGATCCGCGCTTGCACCTCCAAAGCCTCTCGTGCACATTCGCACAAAGGTGCTTGAAGGACGTGACCCGCTGCGGTTATCGTTGCTCGCCTGCATGTCGCCGTCTCGACGGCATCGCATCTCCTCCACCGAGCGCTCTGCATCCGCGATCTGCCCGGCTGCAATTTGTACGACATGGGAATCAAGCTGCATGGACTGAATCAACATGCTTGCCGAATGCAATGCGCAATCCGAGGCCTGCCACTGAACATCTTGGGCGGCCTCGTGGCGGCAGTGACAATTTCACTCCCGTCCTGCCCCCCCCCCCCCCCGCCGCCCCCCTCAAACAACAGCACTTGAAACTGTCGTTGAGCACTGAGATCCCAGCATGATCAGCCTCGTGCCTGGCCTTGTTGGTACGCTCGCGCTGGAGCTGGAGTTTACGCCTTCTGGCGATCGAACCCAGTCGAGCCAGCAAACGAGAAGTGACCAGCAGCGCACCGGAGTCATTGACAGCGAAAGGATGTGTAGTTCACACTGCAACATCAAATCCTGCCTTTCGAGTTCCAGAGCGTCCTTCGTGAATCCAACAAAGCAGCAAAGCTGTGAATCTGTTTAAATGATTATACACTGTTCATGCTCCGGTGTGCCACCACCACAGCTTTCGCATCTTCGCATTCCATGATGCTTGGCACCAACATATGCTCCTGCTGGCGACTTCTTGTGAACTTGTACTTGCCATGCTCGTCCTGGTGCACTTCGCGTTTTGTTGGCCTGCGCTCTTTTGTTTGCATTCGGGCCTCTATGCGCTGATACTTCTCCAGCTTGCCGTCAGGGGACTGGTGCTCCTCACGGATCCGCACTTCTCGAGTCTCGAGAAGCTCTTAGAAGTCACCAAGACATCAAGCCGGGTGTTGCTTTGCAGCGCAGTGACCTCAGAGCATCGGGCAAACAGCATGAGGCGCGAGATGGCGCGAGAAGCTTCTTTGATCTTCTTTGCGTTCGAGCGGCCGGAAATGGCTGCTTCAGTCCAGGCAGTGGTGCCGTGCCATCACTCGGCAGATCCTTGTAAATCTCCTTTCATGCATGCCGAAAGTCTGCTTTTCCACACGTCATGCTGCGTCGCACCGCAGAGAAGACTGGAGAGTCGTCTTTGGGACCCACAAGTTGCGAACTCCTTGCAGGAGTCGCACCGAACAAAGTCTGGAAAAGCCTCAGCCAGGAATTGACACACAGCTTCGGCGACACATCGGTTGCCGGAAATTCCTCAAGGAGAACTTCACTTTGACAACGCTTCTTGTTCGAGGCCAGAGCCAAGTGCATGGGACACTTTTCTTGCTTGGGGCCATCCTCACGGATCTCACCTGCGACGTCGTTATCTGTCGCTCCGAAGAGCTTACGAAGAGTACTGTGGTTCGGTGCCTTGTGAGTCGGCATGTACCAGACCCGGGTCCATGGCAATGACATGCAATCACGCAGAAAGCAGCAGGAGATTCCCTGCACCTGGCTTTCTCTGGGGTGGGTTTGGGGGAGCTCGAGGTCGGCAAAGTGCGAGAGGATGACTGCTTGGATTGTTCACTTACGAGCTGGAAGGTCCACTGAACATTGTCGGCTTGCCCTTGAGGCTTGAGCCTGCTCATTCCGTTCAACAGATTTGGAGCCAACTCCGGAGGACCAGAGCCGAGGCAGCAGATACAGCCAGGTCAGGCAAACCTTTTGCGCCCTCGCACACACGCCAACTCGCGTGCCGCAGCTTGGAAAACGGGCAAGCTTACGCCCGCTTCCTTGGGATTCGAAAGCAACGTGCGAAACAAGAAGCTGCCGTCTGGGCATGCTACTGCATGTTTCGATGGTCACACTCGCAAAGGGCAGGCAAAGCAACGGGTGCATGTTTAGCGCACTGCCAGCCCTGATGCAATTCGTCATGCTACACATCGAGGCTTGCAGTCCCACGGCCTCAGTTCCACCTCCCGAAACTCGAATCACCGAAAACAATCTCAGAGCCCCCTCACTGCATCTTCGTTTCAAGGCGACATCGCGGAATTGCGAGAAGCGCTCCCGCACTGAGCTGACCAGTGAGCCAGAGGCAGCCTGCAGGGCCCAGGGGCGCCTGGGGGCCTGGAGCCTCCGTCTGTGCATGTATGTGTGCGTGCATGCACTTCCTAGTGGATGTATGTTCACCTTTCGTCGTATACTCTCTCTCTCTCTCTCTACATACATATCTAAAACGTCTCTATATGTCCATGTACGCGAATCTGTACACACACATACACAGATATATATATATATTATAGATTGCTACCTGAATATCTCAAACTTTGTTTGTTTTTTTTTGCTTTTTGTCGTCCCCTTGCCCCCAGCAATTGTGCTTGCGATTAGAATGCCTATCAGAACTTTGAGTTCTCAGGATCCTCATGATCGTTCCAGGTGTAGCTGTGACCATTCTGATTTCCGTGCTTTATACTCCTCCACACTCCTCCCCTGCTTGGGACATGTACGGTGAGTTCAGTCTTCGCATCAACTCCTGTGCATGCCAGATGGTGTCGCACTTCAGGTCAGTTCAATGTACGGCCTGCCTACACCCAGCACTGACCACCTACCACCTCCGTCAGGCCTGTGTCGATGTTGCCGCCGTCGTTGTAGGCGCAGGGTCAAAGAATTGCGGCGAGACCTGGTGCAGCGAGGCAGCGAGTCAGTCAAGTTATTGGGAAACTAGTAAGACCCTGCCACGCTGTCCCGGATCAAAAGTATGTCGCATGAAAACCCGCATTTGTCACAAATGTGTGCGCTGCTGACGTGAGTGTGAGTGTGTGTGTGTGTGTGCGTGCAAGGCTCTGCATCAGCGAATCGCCACCCGGCAGCATCTGTGATATCGAAGCAAGATGCGAAGCTGGGCAGGTGAACAATGGGTGGATGGGCAAGCTTCGGTGACCATACGAAGGCAGCATGAAGACATCAGCAACATAAACTGTGCTACGGCAGCCGCAGCCCCCTGCAGAGAAGACTGTAAAATTGGCCTAACGCTACGCTCGGGGGTGGCGCCAAACTAGGCACAGGGAATGAGACGGCATCGAACATGACAGTGTCTCTAATCGAGAGCTCTACACTGAGCTCTACACTGTGAGGTGCACGAGAAACACGAGCCGGCGCACAATCAAAGGTTTAGCCCACGCAATATCTATCCACCTATCTACCTAGCTGTCGATCTTCCTACCAAGCCATCTATCTGTCTGTGAAATCTTCGCGACAATGGGAACCCTGAAATCGAATAACCTGCCACATAATTCGAAACCCGGGGCCTGCAAAATGCGGCAGTTGCAGTACACTGTCCAATAAGTATGCAGCTCAACGCCCAAGACTGTCAGATTTCTGTTGCATGTCACGAGCATGTCGATGCAGAATCCCTTGCACAACAAAGAATTGTCACTTGGCGAAAAATCTTGGCTGCAAGAATGACTGGTGCTGTGCTGCGCCAGGTTATGTAAAGAAGTGTCAAACTGCTGAACGGTTTTCAATCTCCAAGCAACTCCCTTCCGCTCGAGGCCGCGCACCTGCAAATCATGAAGCCAGGCATATCCAGGCATGCTTGCCACTTCTCGCGACTCCAGTGGAGCAAGGGGTTGCGTCTGCAGGTATCCTCAGCCGTTCTCTCTGACATTTGCATCATTTGATTGATAATTGCAGATGCATCATGGCCCCTGCGGTCTGGGGGGCCGGAGAGCCGGACAACAATCCAAATCGGAGGAACGATTTAGTTATTCGTTTTGCCTGAGTTCGTGCATCCTTCTTAATCAGACCATGCTCTGCTAACTTGGCAAAAATACCACATGAAGGAGTGCTGAACGGCGCGATGAAGAGCTGGGGGCCGAAATGACGGAATTATGATTCAGCACGACCCCAATCTCTGACAAAAGGGTGTAGAGTGAAGAGTACCTGACAGACTCAATGTTACCCAGCCAGTCTGGATGCATAATTTCAACCAAAGCCTCGAAGAGAGGCTGACACATGGGAGGGCCTTGTCTCCCAGCTGCTCCCTTTCTGCGGCATAGGACTCCTGACTCTTCGAAAGACTCTCTGCCAGCGAAGCCACACCCACGGTGGGAACTCTTTGAATGCTCCTGACGATCCACGAGCTTCTTTTGCAACAGCAGCAGGCGCATCACCTTTGGACAAAACTGGCAGGCTGGTGGCCTCTGATGCTTGATACATGATGATTGCTCAGGATAGCCCCTCGGAGCCCAGAGCTCCAGCACAATGCCTTGAGACTTGCTGGACTGGACCCTTTGCCCTCTCAAGCACGGCCCATGCCCCCTCCCAGGATGCTTACCGCGTCGGCATCGCTGTCGTCGTGCGTGAACTCCGTAGGCGTCTCATCGCTCAGAAGCATCTCGCCCAACGCCGCATTCATGTCCTTGACCGAAACTCAAAGTTTGCAGCTGACGTAGACAACTTCGCACACATGGGTGGTTTCCCAGTTCCCATGTCACTAAGCTGTTCTCTGTCCTTGCAACCTCCATACTTACACTCCCACCTTTCCGCCGCAAACCAAGAGTCTCGGAGCCGGTGGCTCTCATCAGCCACGCAGCGGCAAGCAACCTGTTTCGGTCATGAGGCGCATCGTGATCTTGAGCGTGGGCTTTCACATCGACACAGACGACTCACTGACAGAACCACATTTATTTGGAGGAGCTGTGCAATTTTTGCATTTGCAGACTTTCGGATAGTTTCAGCATGGCATCATCATGGCATTCCAGGCCCCGAATGGCCCCGATGCCCCGGCCTGCAACTGAGTGTGGCGGCCCTTGATCGACGCCTGGCGAGCTTCGCGGGCGTTCAGGCCATCCAGCTTATCCTGCATGTCGGCGCAGTCCTGCAGTCTGGGCCCAGCTGACATGAAATCTCAAACCTGCACCTATTCGGCAGGGGTGGGGGCGAGCGGACGAACAACTGCAACTCGATGCAATCAGCGTATACTTTTCTTCACATCCTCCGCAGAAGTTACACTTACACTATTTTAGCACTCGCACTCGACGAGGTCAGGCGAGGTTTGTGGCGGTAGCAAAGCACTAGAAGGCTCAATACGAGCCAATTTCACAACTCATTTCGAGCCTCAGTTCAAACCTCAGCCCCTGTTGAACTTACACTTGCAATATCAAACTACCGCCGATTGGACCCCCCACCCTGTACTGAACTATTTCAATCGCACATATGTACAAACACCGCACAGGCACAAGGTGGTGGCATGTGGAGTAAAAAGTCGTGGCCGTAGGCGCAGGGAGTCCAGGTTCCATGCAATAGTGGGTGCCGACAAAATCCGGATGTTGATCCTTGCAGCATATCAAAGAGTGCTGAGCACCTGACATGCAGGGAGCAGAGATGATCCAAAACACGAGGCATGGATCCCTCCTGCCAGCTACCAATCTACTGCTTTTGGCTTCGACAATGTTTCAATTTGTTTTTGCTTTTTTGTTTTCTGTTTCTCCGTGCAGCTGCAGCTGTTGCATATTACAGTCACGTTAAACTCAGAGTACTAAGCTGGCCATGTTCGGCGGGGAGGCAAACTCCATCGAAAAGGTTGTGATTTCGGGTTCAGTGTTGTATGTTCCCTGCAAGGGGGGAGTGGTGGTACATCCCCGCCCCTTCTTGTCATGCTTCCCAAATCGGCTTTTTGGGGGTGGGGGTGGGCGTGGTGATTGGTACCCCTGGGCTAAAGCAACTTGAGCGGGGCCGGGTGTGTCCCAGGCTAAGGCAGCGGAGACCGCGCGGGTGGTGGTGGTGTTGCTGCTGGCGTTGTTCTTGTGGTTGCGGAGGTGATTGTCCGTCTCGTTGTTCTGGTGGTGGTAGCGACAGCAGCATAGCAGCGGCAGCAGCAGCAGCAGCAGCAGCGGTGGCGGTCGTAGTAGTAGTAGTAGTAGTAGTACTAGTAGTACTAGTAGTAGTAGTAGTAGTAGTCGTCGTAGTCGTAGTCGTAGTAGTAGTAGTAGTAGTAGTAGCAGAAGTCGTGGTAGTAGTAGTAATAGTAGTAGTAGTAGTAGTAGTAGTAATCGTAGTAGTAGTAGTAGTAGTAGCAGCAGCAGCAGTAGTAGTAGTAGTAGCAGTAACCGTCGTAGTAGTAGTTTAGTAGTAGTAGTAGTAGTAGTAGTAGTAGTACTTAGTAGTAATAGTAGTAGAAGTAATAGTAGTAGTAGTAGTAGTAGCAGCAGTAGCAGCAGTAGTAGCAGTAGTAGTACTGGTAGTAGTAGTAGTAGTAGTAGTAGTAGTGGTAGTAGTAGTAGTAGTAGTAGTAGTTAGTAATAGTAGTAGAAGAAGTAGTAGTAGTCGTCGTCGTCGTAGTAGTAGTAGTAGTAGCCGTAGTAGTAGTCGTCGTCGTAGTAGTAGTAGTAGTAGTAGTGGTAGTAGTAGTAGTAGTAGCAGTAGTTAGTGGTAGTGGTAGTGGTAGGAGCAGTAGCAGCAGTCGTAGGTAGCAGTAGGCGGTGGTAGTAGTAGTAGTAGTAGCAGTAGGCGGTAGTAGTAGTAGTAGTAGTAGTAGTCGTCGTCGTCGTTGTAATAGGAGGAGGAAAGCCGAGCAGGACTGGAAGCTCTGACTGTCTTTGCACGGGGGCCGCAAGCTTGAGAAAATCAGTGCTTAACCCATAATATCCCACCCCTTGGGTAAAGTCCTGCATCAGCTTGATCCTGTCCGAATCGGCGGCACGCCTGGCTTCCTCCAAGCCCACCAGCTGCTTTACATAGCCCTCACTTTGGGAGGCCATGGTTTCACGCATCGCCTTGCCAGCATCTCCCAAATCCACGCGAGTCGACTGTAGTGCTGCCTTCTCTTCCGAGACCTCTCGCAAGCGCTGTTGAAGGCTGCCCTTCTTACGCTCCAGTCGCTCAACCAGCTGTGTCTGTGCGGATGCAGCATGTTGGGTGTTCGCAAGCCACTGCAAGGATTTCTCCACCTCTTCCAGGGCTTGCATATCCTCAGAGTCCGCTACCCTGTCCGCAACCCAGGAGTCTGCCAACTTCAGGCGCATTTCAGCGACCTCCTCCTGTGCTTTCTGCAGCTGCTCCTGGGCCTCCTCTCTTTGCTCCTCAGCCCGCGCCTGCACCTCTGCGGACACCAAGGATCGAGCCTGGATCTCTGCAGCCTGGATGCGGCTTTCCACCGCAGCATGCTGCTCTTGCAAGGGCTTCTGTGCCTCCACTGCATAGGAGTTGTGAGGCAAGGTAGGGCAGAGAAAGGCTGCCAAAAATAAGGAAGTTGCTGCGTTGACGTCTTACAGCTCATGTCGGCAATGGTCATTGTCCGTTACAAGGTATATAGCAACGACTGCTATGACTGCGCTTGCTTTCTCATTCTTATAAATTGTCGGCAACATGTATCACAAGCGTTTGCTGTCTCGTGCTGACCTCCCGAAGGTTTTGGCAGGCGCGGTTTCGGTCGATCTCCAGGGCGCGACAGGCTTCTCGCGCCTGCGGGATGCACTTGGTGCAGTGCTTTGGGCGGGAAGGCTCAGAAGTCTTGGGGTTCCTTCGTTTACAGACTCCCACTGCGGTACTCGTGTCGAGGTTGCGCCGTAGCAGCTGTGAAGACGGCTAGGGGCTCTTTGCACAGGAAGCACACCGAAAAACCCGTGGTTTTGAGAACACGACTCAGACGAATCATCTACCCGTAAGGCTTGTCGTCGGGACATCCAATCGTTCGGCCCGAGGTCGCAGCCCCTGTCTGCTGCACTGTCGACCCATCCAGTCTAGGTCTAGGAATCCGAGATCAGCCGAAGTCTACATATGAGTGCCGATCGCAAGAAATACGCATTGCACGAAGTTAAACAGTTGTGCTTTTGTTAGCAGCCGCCCTCGACGAGGTCAATCAAAGTACAAGGAAGTACTTGACACAAGCCTAGGACAGCGATTCCAACCTTAAGGTTTTCGGACTCATACACTAACTTCACAAGATCTCAGCACAGTCTCGACTGATGTATCACGGCCATCAGCAGTTGCACTGCGGTCTGAGGATTAGAACAGCTTGAGCAGGCTACCCGAGCACCTGGAGGTGCATCCGCTGCCTTCGAGTTTGCAGGTCTGCATGGGCGTGACAGCATGGTGGCTTGCAACATACGGCACGGCATTGTGATCAAGAACTCCTGCTGGTTAAAACTATCGACGCCAAGCAGCTCCCGCACCAAAGAGGCTTTCCGAGGGCCCAGGGCTTCGAGGTCCTCATAAAGTGCCTCACATCCCATGACTCACTGATTCACATATGTCATGTTCTCAACTCTCCTGGCCTCAATCTCCTGCTCCACTGCGACGCATGCCGCCGCCACAGGATTGTTCTCAACGACCTGGTAGATGACGACCCGAGTCCAGAGGTGCCGCGAATGCAAATTATGGTGAACCGGTCTCGCCATACTTCGGTGCGCTTGTGGGACCCCTGCCTCCTCGCGAAGATGATGGCACTCATCGAGCAAGTCATCCTCGGCATGCGTTTTCGGCAAATGCATGGGCACATCCTACACTGGGTTTCTGGTGAGTGTTGTCCGTACCGTAATGAAGACACAAATTACAAGTGATAATAGCGGGTGTGGTCACCCAGTCCTTCCCCAATAATCTGATAATGATCTGAGAAAGGGATACCAGCCATCTACTGGAAGACCATTGCATCTCAGTCTCGAGTCGTTGCCGCAGGGATGCCTGTGCTTGTCGAAGTGCCTGTATGAGGTGAAGTGCATCTGCTTGCACCCGGGCTGTGTGCGGTGTGGATACAGGCAGCGGTAGTCGTCGGTGCCATGAGAGCCCATGATCCACTGGCAAAGTGAACTGCAAACGAGGCTTTGCTATTGTAGCTGCTTGCCGCATGACGACTTTCCACGGTGCCGGTCGTGCCGGTAAAGACTGGAAGGAGCCTCCCTGAAACTTCCCGTCAGCAAGACAAAAACCTGCAGCAACATGCTCCTGCATTCACTAAGCTGAAACTTGGGCCAAGCTCAGGATACTCTTGAGGCCCAGAAGGCCGATACACACCGTGCCTGCAGTACTCTCTCGGAACGGAGGAGCTCCTGTTGCTCTGTCTCCTGGGAATGGGGTGGAGCTTGTCTGTGGCCTTAAGACTTGGGAGGTCAAGGTCCAGGTGCCACCGTGTAATGAGTCTCCCCCCCCCCACTCCCTGGAAGGTGCAACTCACGGCTCCCAGGCATGCTGTAGTGCAGCCAGCTCATCAGCCATGCTCCATGAGAGGGGCAGTATGAGAAGTTTCTCACAAGCACAGTGCCTAAGGTGAGGTGGCATCGATGTTTCAGAGCTGCTTGTGAGGGGACTCGATGCATCAAGACTTGCAAATCAGGGGCTGTACTGTAGGGTTCAAGTCCAGTGGCTGCGACACAGACAGGTCTTGCATGATAGCAAGCAGTGCTTTGGCCACATTCACTCGCCTGGGATGTTTTGGCTATCAGCGTGGGGTCTGGCACTCGCATGCAGCTTTCAGGGCTTCAGCCACCAGCTGGTGCCTCACAGCTTCGCAGCAACCGCCGTAGCGTGGGTATCCCCACCTCAGGACTCCAGAGCAGTGCAGTCGAAAGAAGGCAAGCAAAGAGAGGCAGTTCTGCTACCCGGCCCGCGGTGCACATGAATCCGGTGCCAAAGCCGTGACTCTTTCTGCATCTGCTGCTAGTTGCCTTGGCCCCTTGGCCCCGTTTTAAATATTAAGTGGTTTAGACTTCCTGCCCTAACGCAAACACCCGAAATTTAATCCTTCGTACAATTGTGGAATGATGCAGGATTGACTCTCTGTCACCTGTGAGAGATCAAGGGAACTCGACGCTCGCTCAGCTAGATGGTAGACAGTTTTGCTAGCTGTTGCGAGCTAGCTTCTTACTTGCCCTGGTCATCTGCCACACATCAGTTCGGTACTAGAGAGAATTCCACAGCTGCACATCCAAGAAGCCAGCTGACACTAAACTTTTGCCATTGATTCTACATGCAACTCGCCCTTTTCCCAAATTAAATCCCAAGTATTGGTTGCCGTCATCCCAAGTCAGCACGGTTCTCCTTGCCTTGCGCTTGCATCCCTCATCGCCAAGTTGTCCTGCCTTCTTGCAACTACCCTTCTGACCTACTGGCAACTGCGGGTAGGCATTATGGCATCTTGAGTGTCGGGCGTAACCAATGAGCCGTCTGTGCGCGCAGCAGCAAAGGCACACTCGGCAGCGTAGACGCGTGCAACACCTGCGCACGAGCTACTACTAGGAAGGTTGTTTGGCATATGCAGGTACTGGCTGGCCTAATGCGACGAATGCTCTATTAGGAAGTGAGTGATGATTGAGGGTGCGGAATTGTCCCGTGAAGCCGCGCGTGCTCTCTAGTGGAAGACCCAAGTGCGCACCTCCCTGAAGCTGATGTTCTACACGGCAGCTGTTTCCTCCATACATCGGGCTGCCCCAAGTAATGACCTCAGTCCAGAACCTTCAACTTGCAGAGCAGACGTTGTCTGCTCCACTGTATGGCTACAGCTGCCAAGCTCTCGGCAGAGCCATCTGACCGAAGCGCAGCAAATGCCGCCTTTGTGGCAAATATCTCCTGTCAGGGCAAACTTCCTATTCCGCTCCTTCGCATCTGCTGTCATCAGTGGGGAGGAGCATAAACACAGCAAAACACTCTTGTCAGCTCAAACCGTGGACCGCGAGGAAAAGCTAATTACACTTGGAGTGCTGCGACATCTGACTTGATAAGACCAGCGCCAAGCAGCCTGCACGTCATGCAGGAGGTGTTGTACAGCATCGCCTTTGGCATGCTTCCCGCTGCCACATCAGCTCGCGCGAAGGTCTACAAACGAGGCAGTGATCTTCACGACTTCACGTGGCAGACCCCGTCCGTCTCAATCGAGGCAAAATGAGGCCGCCCTCAATCAAAGCACAGTCGCTGTTGCCGCCCGAGGCTGGGTCACCCCATGTCGCGACCTCAACCAATCCGCAAAGTCGCATGACAAATCCTGGCTTGGTCTCTGACTTTGTACGCACGCTTCTACTTCTTCTCCATCGCTCCTTTCCTCTCCGTCGCAGAGAGAAGGCACAAAAATCATGAAACCTATGCACGACCCCTCTGCTGTGTTTGTATGTGCGCATATCCATACGCATCTATATGACACTATCATCAGACACACATGTGCGTACATACATGTGCACACTTAAACAGATACAGATGCGTAAAAATATACAAACAAACAACAAACAACAAACAAAACAAAACCAACCAACCAACCAACCACCCAGCCAGGACCCCGCCAGCCAGCCAGTCAGCCAGCCAACCAAACACGCAAACACACAGACAAACAAACAAGCAAGCAAGCAAACAAACACACAAACAAAAAACAAGCATACATACACACATACATACATACATACATACATACATACATACATACAGTTGCACGCAGACATACATGTAAATATTTAACTACGTACATACCTCTACCTACGTAAGACATACCTGTTCCAGATTCTACATCGCAGAATGTGTACCCACAGCACTCGCAACTAAAGCTAAAGGGGTGCGAACATGCAAAGATTGCTTTTCCAAATCTTCCAGCCAAGGCGAGAGCGGTCCCATCGATCCGGATTGCAGCGAAGGCTTCGTTCGTTGCGAAAAGCCGGGAGATTCGAGTCGGGAGGTCGGTACCTAGATTAAGGCCACTTCTCTTGGCAAGCATGTGGTGCTCTGCAATCTGCAGGTAAGAAGCTGCCGCCGCCGGCCAGCTCGTTGCCCCAAGTCCTGATGCATCCAATCGCTCCAATGTTGCACAGCAATGCACAGCAGAATCGAATCAGTCGAAGGCAAGCCGAAATGCAGCTTGATCTCGATCTATCTGTCTCTCTCGCTCTCAGACATAGGGTCTTTTTTGCACAGGTGCGGCGCATGTCTGTAAGCAAAGGTCAGGTCTGTGTACAAGTAGGCACGCGCCATGCACCAACTTCGGCATCATGAAGCATGCGCCGGCGAACTACGACGAGTCTTGGAACAGCTGAACTGGCCCGAATTCGGAAAACCTGATGCCACGTTCTAGGTCTTGTCAACCACTGCTCGCCTGCCAAGTCAAAGCAGTGTCGCTGTCCATGGCATCTACGGCTAGGGCAAGATCAGCTGATAAACAGAGCTCGGTCCAAGCATGATATCAGCGCCCAAACTTTCGATCCCAAATTCAATGCGCCTCGATTGGCCTGGCAGCTTTGGCCCGCAAGTTGACGTCCAAGGTACCTTGTCTGAAAATTCAGAGGTCAACTGCAGTCTGTCTGCATTTGGCTCTTGTCCTCCCACCATGCTTAACACTTACCACATTGAAATTGTCCCACCCGCCCCGGAAACATTGACATTGCTTCTACAGGTTCCGCGCAATCGCGGTGCTGTCAATGATTGTTGTTGCAGTTAGCCGCATTTCACTACGATTCAGTCACTTTATCGCAATCGCAACTGAGAGTGAAAGCCTTAGCAGAAGAAGGGATGATGTATCCCACAGAGATTGTTGATGCTTTGGAACAAGCCGAGCGGCTGGAAGACACTCCACCGGTCTGGGCATAGCAGCTCGCAGCAATAGCCTCATCACACGGCACAAAATGTGCAACTTGCAGGTACCTCATTGCCGCAGGGCTTGCCTGAGTCTGTGCTGCATCGAGCTTTCCCTTGACAAGCTCACGAATGTGCTCACTTTGCTGGCACGCAGCATACAGGACGAGCAGGTGAGCATAGAACACCTCAGTCAACAGCCGGATGACTTCAACAAACACAAGCACTTGCTCCACCTTATAACCCATACGATTGCCTCGGCAGATGGCATGCTCAGGCGTCAACCCATAGAAACGCGTCTCGCTTCAGCAACCGTTCTGTGAAGCTGCGTAGGAGCTGTTCCTGCAAAGTTGGGAGTAAAAAGTCATGGTTTTGTCCACCAACCTGCCGCAGGGTAGAATCTGTGGCTTGACCACCGTACATCAGCCGGGGCTTGTGCTGTGCTTTGTCGTTTTGTGATGTTTGAAAGCCTGCAATTATCCTGTCATGATGCTTCGCAAATCAACTGACAAATGCACACGAAGTGTAGTGACTGAAACAACGCTCTTGTCTCATTGGCTCTCGGCACGGTGCCTTACCGTGGCCTCTCTTGTTAACACCGGCCAGCGGCTAGACCCTACATCTCCCACACTCTCCCACAAGCTAAAGGCCCCTCTCCCGTCAACCCCCTGGCCACAATGTCACGGAGAACGCCAACGATCCCACCAGAAGAGCGCTGGCGGTTCGGCCTGCCCAGAGATCTCTTGAGAGTGTAGAGTCAGTGTAGAGTTGGATTCCCACGACAAACCCATGCACAAGCACATGCAGGACTCCGCGTGCTGGCTCGGCAGCAGCAACCCCAAAATGCAAACAAGAACTTGCCCCTGCTTGCATTTCGGCATTGAAAAATGAGGACTCGCGAGACGCCTACGTACGAGTAGTGGCTAGCTGCTAGCCAATTAGCCCAGCACTCCCAGCGCCGCCTCTCTTTTGGAGGAGCTTGGTAGACAATAGGTCGTGCATTCAGCTTGCGCCTGGACGGCTCTGTCATCGTCAAGCTCATCGCCATCATGGTCGTCATCATGGGTGTGCACATCATTACCTACCGATTACTGTATCACTAAATCCCTGAATCACAGAGACGACGCCCGTGCGTGTGGCTTCGAACGATGACAGAGCATGACGGTCTAGCAGCCCTGTCATCCCCTCCCTTCGATCATCAACATCCTGGCATCCCGTTGCAGTGCGGCTAGTCGGACTTATGCGACGGTGCTCCAGCCCAGAATCAAACCCCGGAAAGCCAATACGTGACTCTTCTCCGAGGAGCTGCAGCGTGGAGCACTGCTGCTCGAGAACATGAATGTGCGCCTGTAGTTCTGACACGTCCTCGCTGAGAACCAGGAGATGGCTGTGCCGAGTCTCCAAAAACCCCACGTTTGCCCAATCACTGATGAAGAGTAGCCATATCTGAAGCTACCGGTCACGAGGCCCTTCCTTCCCAGCAAACTCCCGCGTGCGGAAACCTCTCTGCTTCCATGTGCAGAAATACACGTCCTGAATGTTGTCGAAAGCACCCGCAGTAATAGCTGGCCCAGAGGGTGCCTGCAGCTTTCACAAGGCGGCAACCTGTGCTTGCGATTCTTCCGATTTTCAGTCGAGTTCTCGGGAGTGTGCAGCGTTCTCCACCGGCTGCTCCTCTGCCACCTCCTGTCGCGCATGCTGACAGTCTCAACCAACACTGTCATTCTTGACTTCAAGTAGACAGAGTAGCAGCAAAGCCCGAGTCGTTGACCCCTGCTGGCTCCCTGCCTCTGGTTCAGGGCTGCATCCGTTGGCCTGCGGAGCTGAAGCCGTCTGCGCCTTTGTCCCACTTAAAGATTCATTGAAAGGTGCCGAGCCTGAGCTAACCACAGCTCCAGACAATTCACTCTGAGGAATCGTCCAACTCAGCTTGGAGCTCGTTGACACCTTGGCGCCAACTAGAAGACGCTGCTGCGACGTACTGTGCAAGCGAGGATCTCCCCGCAAGTTCTCGATACTTCCATGGTCGGCCCAGCCGCGCTGCTGCAACTGGTGCAACTGACCCTCGTATCTCTGCTGACTCGCTGACGCCTACACAAGGGCCAGGATCGTCATGCATCAGAAGATGTGCAAGGCATGTCAAGCGTGCTCAGCCAGCGGAGGCACAAAGGTCCGGCCTCGGCAAGATTCACCGTCTCCAACTTGCAGATCTCCCTGCGAGCCACTTCTGCCTGCATGGCATATACTGATACTGCACGTCTTCGCATTTTCCACACATTGGGCCGTTAAGAACCTGAGCCTTAAGCAGGTGCTCAAGTTGAACAGCGTAACTCAGAACAAAAGCTGCAGCATATCCGCGTACACGTTGTGGAACACTGCACATCAGAGGACGCGCTGCATTTTCGTCGCGAAGCAAGTGCTTGCGTTAACCGACTGGAGTGCTGAAAGAACTTCTTGCAACTCTCCAGGCAAAGGGGCCACTGCAGTGAAATCTTGCTTTGTGGCATCCACCAGGGAGACCTTGCAACAGTGCAAAAACAGGCGTGGACACTCCAGCATCGACTTCTCGCGGCCATATGTCAAGTCACCCACCAGAGGCCTTCCGAGACATGCCAGGTGTGCTCTTATCTGATGTGTTCTCCCGGTGCGTGGTTGAACTTGGAGCAGGATGAGCTCTCGGCCTGCGGCTCCGGCAGCTGCACACGGTGGGTCGTACCTATGAATGATCTCGTACTCCGTCCTGGCCTGCTTCCCTTCTTCTGAAACTTCAGCAACTTTTCCCCCGTCCGGAAGCTGGCGCGTGCTCAGAGGCTTGGTGATCGTTCCTTTCGCCCCTAAAGCTCCAAGTGGCAAGCCTTCGCAAAGGCAGACGTACTCTTTGGAAACCAGGCGGCCCGCGAAGCAGCTGCGGTACCAAGCGGCAGCATGGGAGTCTCCGCTTCCCAGCACAATAGGCAACACTCCCGAAGTTGGCAAATCGAGACGCGAGACCATGGAGAGGGGACGGCCAAGCACTCGGCCAAGGTCGTCAACAAGCACTTCGGTTTGAACTCCTGCAGACAGCGAGCAGCGGGGGTGTAGTGCCGATAACCGTCGAAGCTACAGCACATACAACACAGGTGCAAATCTTCGAAGTACTACACCCGAAGCCCCCAGAGATCCCCAGAGCGAAGTGCGAATGACTTTGCAAATCCTCGCCTGCAGGCTTGCTGACAGCAATGATTCGGCATCCCGTGGCGACAATTTCAAGTCCAGGAAACCTCGCGGCAATCCAACCCCACAAAGGATCATGTCTTAAGGGCTATTGACCAAAAGAGTATCGTTACAACTCGACCGAACACATGTAGTGACTTCATGTAGTGAGCAGTGGAACCAGAGAAAGCACCGTGTATGTTGAGTAAATGGCAACCAATTAAATCAACGAGCAAACATACAGTATATACTACGTGCAGGCACAGATAGACATGTGCATGCATACTTACATGACTATTTGCCTACCTACCTACCTGCCTGCCTACCTACCTGCCTACCTGTGCAGACAAGCACAAGCATAGAAAGAACAAGCATGCATGCATAGATACATTTATTTTAGCACTCGTGCTCGACCAAGTCAGGCAAGGTTTGGGACGACATACAGGCATACATACATACATACTTACTTACTCACTTACTTACACATACATACTTACATACATACTGTACAGACATACATACTTACATACGTACTTTGCATCAGTTCTTACTTACTTACTTACTTACTTACTTACTTACTTACTTACGTACTTACGTACTTACTTGCTACCTACTTACTTACTTACTTACTTACTTACTTCCTTACTTACTTACTTACTTACTTACTTACTAACTTACTAACTTACTTACTTACTTACTTACTTACTAACTTACTTGCTTCCTTATACATACTACACATCCTGCTCTCAGTATGCCTGCATGCATACATATTTATACAGATAAATAACATGGATGTGGCGATGCATTCTGATACAGACAAGGCACTGGGACACTGCAGCGACGGCAGCCTTCAAGTCTCTGTCCTGATCTCTACCTGGGAAGTCGAGAACTTACTTCATTCACTCTATAAACTAGCCGAGTAGTGTTAGCTCGAGCAGGACCCCGCTTAGAAAGTCCACCGTCCCACCTGGCAAGTCCTCCAATGCCCAGGTCTCACGGTAACCATCCAGAAACTGTCG